CAATCCTCCTCTTTTTGCTGAGGAAGACTGGCCCTGGGCTAACATCCATGCCCATCTTCCTCCACTTTATATGGGACGCTGCCACAGCATGGCTTGAGAAGCGGTGCGTCGGTGTGCGCCCGGGATCCGAACTGGCGAACCCTGGGCCACCGCAGCGGAGCGCGCGCACTTAACAGCTTGCGCCACCGGGCCGGCCCCAGGATGTTTTTTTCTATTTCTGCAAAACATGCCATTGGAATTTTGATAGAGATTGCATTGAATCTGTAGATCATTTTGGATAGTATGGATATTTGAACAATATTAAGTCTTTCAATCCAGGAACACAGAGTGTCTTTCCATTTATTTGTGACATCTTTAATTTCTTTCAGCAATGTTTTGTAGTTTTCAGTATGCAAGTCTTTTACCCCCTTGGTTAAGTTTATTTTGTATTTTATTCTTTTTGATGCTTTTGTAAATGGGATTGCATTACTTCTTATTTTGAGCTTCATTTCTCTTCCTATGTCCATTGTATAGAAGTATGTCTGATATTTTCTTGAATTCTCATTTATTTTGGCTGATAAAATTACATAGAGCAACTGTACCATTTTTATGCAGTATCTTAGTTTTGGGAAGATAGTAATACAATTCTGTGTTGTTCATTATCTGTTTGTATCCCAAATCACAATAGGTTTTGTGAAATTGTTTTGTTCTCTGAGTTATAAGCTTTGAATTACCTGAATTGCCTTCCTTGTTTGCCTGGCTGTTTCTGAGTATACTAAATGTGACAATCTTTGTTTTCTCATTTAGGGTACATCAAAGAAGGATTCCTGGCTGTGCAGCATGCCTTAGATAAGGCCATCATGGTGCACCACAACGGCAGAGCTGTAGAAGAGCTGTTTGAGAATGTCATCATTTTTGTTAGGAGATTTCCAAACCCTGCTTATTATCATGATACATTTATGTGGACTTTTATAGCTATCTTCCCTTTGGTAGTTTTACTTATATTTTCTCCAACTGAACTAACCCTCCTCAGGACCATTGTTATGGAAAAAGAAAACAAATTAAAGGTAACTTGACTTTCTTTGTAGCATTTTGGACCTGTGGAACAGATTTGTGCGCAGGATTGGACTATTTCTATATATTTTTCACTGGTGAATGGTTATATTTCAGTAGCAATGTACACATATAGACTGGGTCGAGTGTGCACTATGTCATTTGTCAATTTTCTGATGTTTTGCTTTTATCTAAATTCTTTATTTGGCTTGTAATTTTGTCCACTAAATGGCTATTTGACAAGAATGTTATGGGAAGAGGCCATATATTAAATGCTCTGAAACTAATTTGGCATAAAATGGGCAACAAAGAAATAATCATATGAGCTCTTGGATTAGATGAATTTAAGATACACTTCAATTCTAAGATTTGGGATGATTTTCAGTAGTAAGTCAAATCAAGACCATATTATGAAGAACATTGACTCTAAAGTCAGAGAGAAAGCCGTTGATTCATTAGTCTATCCATTATGTCATTCAATATTTACTTATTAATTACCTACTTTGTTTTAAGGACTTTGATAGATCTGAAGTTTAAATCCTGGCTCCACCAATTATTCACTCTGTGATCATAGCCTGTTTCCTCAGATGTAAGTTGGAGATAATAATACCTAATTTCTAGGATTATCAAGTGGATTAAATGAGATGTTATTCAGAAAAGTATCTAGGTCAGTCTCTGACCTGTAGTAAGCACTCAACAAATGGTAGTTAGAGAAGACAGAATTTCTACTCACAAATTGTTAAAGGTTTAGTTGAGGAGATATTAGTAAACTGGGTTTACTTCTATATTATGGTAAGTACCTAGGTAGGGGCGTGGAAAAAGTTATTCTTTTTTTTTTTGCTTCAGAAAGATTAGCCCTGAGCTAACATCTATGCCAATCTTCCTCTATTTTGCACGTGGGTCGCTGCCACAGCATGGCTGATGAGTGGCGAAGGTCTGCGCCTGAGATCTGAATCTGTGAATCCAGGCTGCCGAAGCAGAGCATGTGGAACTTTAACCACTCGACCATGGGGCTGGCCCCAGAAAAAGTTATTCCTGCAGTACTGAGGGCTTGCTGCTTGGTCTGAGCAATGAAGGACAGTAGGAGTTCACTGGGTGGATAGCACTGGGAGATGGGCTTTGAAACTATGTAGTATTCCTATCAGTGTTGCCTTCACAAAAATGACTTGGGAAGGGAATATGGAGGATGTGTTAGATTAGGTGTTGGCAGTGGTGTTGGCTCTCTACTTTCTCTGTCCCCTGTGGCAGGCTTTGTGTGGGAAGCACAAGATTGTAAATATTTTAGGCTTGTGGGCCACATGTGTCTCTATCACATATCCTTTTCTGTTTTGTTTTTTTGTTAAATCGTTTAGAAATGTAAATCCATTCTTAGCTCACAGGATATGCAAAGGTAGTCTGTGGGCTGGATTTGGCCCACAGGCCATACTTTGCTGACAAACTTTGACTGAAAGAGAGGAACCAATTATGAGATAATTATAATAGACCAGGAGAAAAGCAGGGAGGGCCTCAGCTAAGGTGGTTCAGTATATAAGAATAGAGAGGGAAGAGTTTAAGAAATATTTGGAAAGTAAAAATCAGAAATGGATATGTACATAATTAACTTCAAATTCTGGAATTTTGCACTTCTCTCAACGACTTTCTTTTCCACATATCAGGTAACAGGTTCTTAAGGTATTTTGAGGGCTACTTATCAAATTATATTGGGGTAAGGAAATATGCTTTGTTTCTTGAAGGGACAGTGATGCTTGGGTTTAGTGAATATGGGATAGAGAGAAAAATCAGTCTTCTTCTGAGCAAGGGATTGCCTCTCCTCCCAGGTTTCTTGGTTGTGCTAATGAAATTATCATCTCCCAAATCACCCAAGCTTGAAACCTCAGTCTTATTGGTATAGTATAATATATATACTATTTAAGAGTGCTGCCATTTCCTGCCTCTGTAACTTTTGGGTAAGTTTCTTAACTTCTCTGTGTCTTATCTGTAAAATGGAGATAAAAATACTCCTATCACATAGGGTTGTTGTGATGATTGAAGAGATACTATTTGTTAGTGCATAGGAAATATTACGTAGCTATCAATGTCAGTTCTCTCTCTACTTTCTCTGTCCCCTGTGTGCAGCATATGTGAACTAGTGTAAATTCTGCTTCTTACTCTCCATTTGTAGACATGTTTTCTAGTTCCAGCTCTTATTAACTTTTCACCATCTAGCTATTTCAGATATCTAGAAGATATATCTAGCTATATCTTCTCATTGGTTTCCCTAACCACTGTCTCTTCTTAGTCTTCACATTAAACCCTTTTCCCTCTAACCCAAAATGGTTCATTTTGTACCATTCTTTCTTTGTTTTCTCTGACTAGCATGTCTTTTCTCTCTTTTCTAACTGATGAGTGATGGCTTTGAAATCTCTTTTCAACTTCCAACTGCAATTTACTAGTTTTTTCTTTGTGTCTCCAGGTCGTGTCACACAAACTTCAATCAGGTAGTTGAAATTATTTATTATTTCCTTTTTCATTTTTAAATTTCTAATTGAAATATAAAATACGTACATATAAAATACATATACCTATGTGTCCACATCCTTGAATTATCAAACTTAAACACACCCATATAACTACTATGCCATTCAAGAAATAGAATGTTGCCAAAAATCCAGAAATCCCTCTCATCTGTTCCAAATCACTATACCTTCCCTCTTCCCCAAAGATAATCACTTTTTAACTTCTAAAACCCTAGATAAGTGTTACCTGGTTTTAAACTTTATTTAAATAGAATCATACAATTCTTATCCTTTTGTGTCTGTGAGAATCAGTCGTGTTCTTCTGTGTAGCTATAATTGGGCCATTTTCATTGCTGTGTAGTATTTCATTTTATGAATATATCACAATTTGTCACTCTACTGTTGATGGACATTTGGTTGTTCAAGTATTGGGCTATTACAATATGCTACTGTGAATATTTTGTGCACGTTTTTCTGTTGGGTATTTACCTAGGATTGAGATTGATGGAGTATACAATATACATATTTTCTACCTTGTTAAATGAGGCCAAACGTTTTTCCAGTGTTTGTGCCAATTTATTCTCCTATCAGTAATGTATAAGAGTTGCTCTTGCTTTGTAAGTATGCCAACACTTAGGGGTAATAGTCTTTTTTAATTTTAACCATTCTGGAAGGCATATAGTGGTATCTCATTGTGGTTTTAATTTGATTTTCCTTGTTAATTAATGATGATGAGTACCTTTTCATATGCTTATTGGCCACACGGATATCCTTTTTTGTGAAATGTCTGTTCAAAAGTCTTTTCCCAGTTTTTTTATTGGGTTGTGCATCTTTTTTCATTAATGTGCAAGCATTCTTTACATATTTTGGATACGAGCCCTTTTTGTGATGTATTTATTGCAAATATTTTCTCTCAATCTGTAGCTTGCCTCAATGGTGTCTTTGGATTTATATAAGTTCTTAATTTTAATGTAATGAAGTCTTTTCCCTTATGATTAGTGCTTTCTGTGTCCAGCCTATGCTGGCTGAGTTTCCGTCCACCTCCTTCCCTATTGTTCTTTAGACTTTCTTCTTTTCTAACCTTTGCATTTCAGCCTCTAAATTTATCTCTAATCATAACTTTAGTTGCAAACGACAAGTTCAAATATAGTATTTTGTTTATCATACAGTTCAAAATAATTTCTAATTTTCATTGTGAATTTTTTCTTCGATCCATAGGATAATTAGAAAAGCATTTAAACATTTTCAAACGTATCAGGAGCTGGTATTTGATTTCAGTCTTTTGAAATTTTGATGAGACTTGCTTTATGGGCTAGAATATAGCCAATTTTAACAAATGTTCTCCATACACATGTGCAATGAAAAACAATATATACTGTGTATTCAGTGGGTGCAATTTTCTGTATGTGTTACATCAACTTTGTTAGTCATATCTTTAACATGTTTTATCTGTCAGTTGTATCAGTTATTGTGAGAAGTGTGTTAAAAATCTCCCATGAGGCCCGCCGTGTGGCATAATGGTTAGGTTTGGCATGCTCCACTTCAGTGGCCTGGGTTCGCAGGCTCGGATCCCAGGTATGGACCTACACCACATGTCAAGCCATGCTGTGGCAGTGACCCACATACAAAGTAGAGGAAGATTGGCATGGATGTTAGCTCAGGGCCAATCTTCCTCAAGCGAAAAAAGAGGAAGATTGGCAATAGATGTTAGCTCAGAGCGAATCTTTCTCATCAAAAAAAAAAAAAGGAAAAACTCCCTCTATGATTATTGATTATTGAGTTGTCTAGTTTTTCCTTTTAGTGGTCAATTTTAGCTTTATGTATGTTGGTGCTATGTTTAGTAGACCCAGTTTATGGTATTTGCTTATTCTCACCTGTTCTGCAGGAGTTGGCTGATTTGTCAGTGGAGAGCTTGCCTATCATTGCCATCACCTTGTCTTGTAACATTGCAGGTTGTTTTAAACTCCTTTCTGGGTAAGGACCAGGGTTTGGAATGGCATCCATTAAACCTGCTTTGAGAGCTAGTTTTCTTTCCTCTTCTGGACTCAAAGAAAAAGCTGTGGCATTGGGGTGAGGGATCTTTCATCCACGGTGGCTTCACAGAACCATCAGGTCACCCAGCTCAGAAGAGCAGGGAAGTTGTCACCCAGCCTAGTGAACTTTGACTATGGAGTATAGTAAAAAGTTGGCAGATAAATCCCTTTCTCTGTCTCCCTCCAATGGACTGTCTTAAGGCCTGATGCTTCCATTTGGCCTACATGAATGAAAACATCTGAATGCATTTCTTTTTATGAACCTGTGGCCAGCTTGGTAATATCTTACCTTGAATTTGTTTTTCTTCCTTCACATCCTATTTTCTCTCATTCTTGCTATCCTGTGAATACACTTCCAAATAAAGTCTTAGCATGTAAGCTTTGCTTAGACTGTATTTTTTGGGCATCACAGGCTAAGCTACTTTTTATTAGGTGCATATAAATGTAGAATGGTTATCTCTTCCTAATGGATTAAAGTTTTTATCG